CCTCAACCCCCCCTCCCCCCCCACCCCCCCCCTCCCCCACCCCCCCTCACCACCTCCCTCACCACCTCCCCACCCCTTTCCCTCACCACCTCCCTCACCACTCCTCACCACCCCCCTCAACCTTCCTCCCACCCCCCTCACCACCTTCCCACCCCCCTCCCTCACCCCCTCCCCCCCCACCCCCTCACCCCCTCCCTCACCCCTTCCTCACCACCTCCCTCCCCACCCCCCCACCACCTCCCCACCACCCCCCCACACCTCCCCCACCCCCCCCATTCCCCACCACCTCCCTCCCCAACCCCTCCCTAAACCCCCTTTCCCCCCACCCCCTCCCCAACCCCCCCATCCCTCCCCACCTCCTCCCCACCTCCCTACCACCTCCCTCACCACCCCCCTCCCACCCAAAATTCCTCCCACCTCCCCACCACCTCCCCCCACCACCCCCCTCACCACCTTCCCCACCACCTCCCTCACCACCTTCCCCCACCTCCCCCCAAAAACCCTCCCTCACCCCTCCTCCCCCCCCCCCCTCCCCCCCTAAACCCCCTCCCCCCCCTCACCACCCCCCTCCCACCTTCCTCACCACCTCCTCCCCCCCCCCTCACCACCCCCCTCACCACCCCCCCTCACCCCCTTCCTCACCACCTCCCTCACCACCTTCCCCCCCCACCACCTCCCCCCCAACCCCCCCCCCTTCCTCCCCACCCCCCTCCCCACCTTCCTCACCACCTCCCTCACCCCCCTTCCTCCCCACCTCCCCCCACCTCCCTCACCACCCCCCCTCACCACTCCCCACCCCCTTTCCTCACCCCCCCTCACCATTTCCTCCCCCCTCCCTCACCCCCTTTCCCTCACCACCCCCCCCCAAACCCCCCTTCCTCCCACCTCCCTCCCCAAACTCCTCACCCCCCTTCCTCACAACCCCCCTCACCCCCTTTCCTCCCACCTCCCCCAAAACCCCCCCCTCACCCCTCCCTCACCACTTCCTAAACCCACTCCCTCCCCAAACCCCTTCCTCACCACCTACCCACCACCCCCTCACCACCCCCTCACCCCCTCCATCACCACCTTCCTCACCACCTCCCTCACCACCTTCCTCCCACCCCCCTCCCCACCCCCTCCCCCCTTTCCCTCACCACCTTCCCCACCACCTCCCTCCCACCTTCCCCCACCTCCCTCCCCCCTCCCCACCACCTTTCACCACCCCCTCACCCCCTTTCCCACACCTCCCTCACCCCCTTCCCCCCCACCCCCCACCACCCCCCTCACCACCTCCCTCACCCCCTTTCCCTCACCACCCCCCTCACACCCCCACCCCACTCACCACCTACCTACCCCCTTTCCTAACCACCCCCTCACCCCCTCCTTTCCCCCCTCCCCCCCCTTTCCTCACCCCCTTCCCAACCACCTCCCCCCCCCTCCCTCACCATTTTCCTCACCCCCCCCCCTCACCCCTTTCCCCACCACCTACCTCAACCACCCCCCTTCCCACCCCCCCCTCACCACCTCCCTCACCCCCCCCCCTCACCACCTCCCCACCCCCTTCCTACCACCTCCCTCACCACCTCCCTCACCACCTTCCTCACCACCAACCTACCCCCTTTCCTCCACCACCTCCCCCCCCCCAACCCCCGCCCCCCCCTCACCCCCTTTCCTCCCACCCCTCACCCCCTCCCTCACCCCTCCCCACCACCTCCCCCCCTCCCACCACCTCCCACCCCCTTCCCCCACCTCCCCCCCACCTCCCTCACCACCTCCCCCCCACCCCCTCCCACCTCCCCACCACCTACCCACCACCCCCTCCCCACCTCCTACCCCCCTCCCTCACCCCCTTCCCACCACTCCCCACCACCTCCCCACCACCCCTCACCACCCCCCTCACCACCCCCCCCCCTCCCTCACCACCCCCTCACCCCCCCTACCCCCCCCAACCCCCCCCCAAACCCCCCACCACCTTCCTCCCACCTCCCCCCCCACCCCCCCCCCCCCTCCCAACCCCTCCCACCCCCACCTCCTCACCCCTTTCCCTACCACCTCCCCACCACCCCCCCCCCCTCCCTCACCACCCCCTCACCCCCTTTCCTCACCCCCCCCACCCTCCCCACCACCCCCCCCCCCCCCCCCACCCCTCCCCACCACCCCCCACCCCCCCACCCCCCCCACCACCCCCCACCACCCCCCCACCACCCCTCACCACCTCCCACCACCCCCCCACCCCCACCACCCCAAAACCCCCCACCACCCCCCTACCACCCCCAAACCACCCCCACCACCCCCCCAACCACCCCCCACCCCCCACCACCCCCCCACCCCCCCCCACCCCCAACCAAACCCCCCCCTTCCCACCCCCCCTCACCCCCAACACCCCCCCCACCCCCTAACCTCACCCCCTTTCCCCCACCCCCCCCAACCACCCAACCACCCCCCCACCCCCCCACCCCCCACCCCCCCCACACCCCCCAAACCCCCCCCACCCCTTCCAACCCCCCACCCCTCCCCCCCACCCCCCCCACCCCCCACCCCACCCCCCACCCCCCCCCAAAACCACCCCCTTACCCCCCACCCCCCACCCCCCACCCCCCCCCCCACCCACCCCCCCACCCCCCCCCACCCCCCCACCACCCCCTACCACCCCCCCCCACCCCCCACCAAACCCCCCCACCACCCCCCCACCCACCCCCCCCACCACCCCTCACCACCCCCCACCCCCCCCCCACCTCCCCCCCACCCCCCCACCACCCCCCCAAAACCCACCCCCCACCAAACCCCAAAAAACCCCCCCACCCCTCCCTCACCCCCCTTCCCACCACCTTCCTTACCACCTCCCTCACCACCTACCTCACCCCCTCCCTCCCCACCTCCTCCCCACCTCCCCACCCCCTTCCTCACCACCTTCCTTCCACCTCCCTCACCACCCCCACCACCCCTTCCCACCCCCTTACCACCTCCCCACCACCCCCTCACCACCTTCCTCACCACCTTCCTACCCCCTCCCCACCACCTCCCTCACCACCTCCCTCACCCCTTCCTTACCCCCTTTCCCTCCCCACCTCCCTCCCCCACCTCCCTCCCCACCTCCTCACCACCCCCCTCACCCCCTTCCTCACGCCCTTCCTTACCACCTCCCTCCCCCACCTCCCTCACCACCTTCCTCACCACCTTCCTTACCACCTCCCTCACCACCTCCCTCACCACCCCCTCCCCACCTCCCCACCACTCCCCCCCACCTTCCCTCCCACCTTCCTTACCCCCTCCCTCCCACCTCCCCACCACCTCCTCACCCCCCTTTTCCTACCCCCTCCCCCCCCCTACCTCACCCCCCTTCCTTACCCCCTACCTCACCCCCCCTCCCCCCCCCCTTCCTCACCCCCTTCCTCACCACCATCCTCACCACCCCCCTCACCCCTCCCCACCCCCCTCCCTCACCACCTTCCTCCCCACCTTCCTCACCCCCTTTCCCCCCACCTACCTCACCACCTTCCTCCCACCTCCTCACCCCCCTCCATCACCACCTCCTCACCACCTCCCTCACCACCTTCCTCACCACCTACCCCCACCTCCATCACCACCCCCTCCCCAAACCCCCATCAACCCCCTACCCACCACCTCCCTCACCCCCCCTCACACCTCCATCACCACCTACCTCCCACCTCCCTCACCCCTTCCTCACCCCCTTCCTCACCACCTCCCTCACCACCCCCCTCCCCACCTCCACACCCCTCCCTCACCACCTCCCTCCCCACCCCACACCACCCCCTCCACCTCCCACCACATCCTCACCACCTCCATCACCACCCCCTCACCACCCCCATCACCCCCCCCTCACCACCCCCTCACCACCTCCATCACCACCCCCCTCAACACCTCCATCAAACCTCCCTCACCACCTCCCCACCACCTCCATCACCACCCCCCCTCCCCACCTCCTCCCCACCTCCACACCACATCCGTCACCACCCCCTCACCACCCCCACACCACCTCCCACCACCTCCTTCACCCACCTCATTCACCACCTTCCTACCACCCCCCCCAAACCCGCCCCCCTTCCGTCTGACCATCGTCTCACAACTCATAAATGGTGCTCGGTAAATGTTGAATACCGGATAGTTCCCGGGAAGAAGTAATTTTGTGGTGTGTGTATTGTGTTGTATGCTGATGTGTTTTGCGTGTGTCTGTCGTGTGTCTCTTGTTTTTGTAGTATTTGCCCTCTCAGCCGATGGGATAACTGGAAGACACAAGGTAGATATCTCCAGTGTTTATCTAACAGATCTTTTGCATTTCCAGAGTCTGAATTACGTATGACAGAGCACAGATTTCGCAGGTTATTTAATATACTTTTAAAGATTTTAGTAATCCTTGTCCCTTGTGATTTATAGTGTTTTTTACTCACCCCCTCCCCGTCTTTCCCACACACCCCTGCCTCTCTACCCTCCTGCTTCCTAACACCCTGCCCTCCACACACCCCCGCCTTCCTACACATCCTGCCCCCCTACACACCCTGCCTCCCTACACACCCTCCCCCTCCTACACACTCCTGCCTCTCCTACACACTCCTGCCTCTCCTACACACTCCTGCCTCTCCTACACACTCCTGCCTCTCCTACACACTCCTGCCTCTCCTACACAAATCCCGCCTTCCTACACACCCTCCTCCCTACACACCCCGCCTCCCTACACACTCCTGCCCTCCTAAAAACCCTCCTCTCCTACACACTCCTGCCTCTCCTACACACTCCTGCCTTCCTACACACCCCTGCCTTTTCCTACACACTCCTGCCTCTCCTACACACTCCTGCCTCTCCTACACACTCCTGCCTCTCCTACACACTCCTGCCTCTCCTACACACTCCTGCCTCTCCTACACACCCCTGCCTCTCCTACACACTCCTGCCTCTCCTACACACTCCTGCCTCTCCTACACACTCCTGCCTCTCCTACACACCCCTGCCTCTCCTACAAACCCCTGCCTCTCCTACAAACCCCAGCTCCCACTACTCACCCCACATAAGCAGCAGCAAGTATCCTAGTAGTGTGAGTACCATCGTCCTGTGTGGCAGCGTCTGGCAATCCTGAAAATATAAACAAATTTCATCAGGTCCCTAGACTAATGAAAAAATAAATTGAAAGCGTGCTTTAAATAGTTTATATATATATTTATATATTAATATATATATATATATATTATATATATATATATATATATATTATATATAAAATATATAATTTTTTATAAAATATATATATATATATATAAGTTTTATATAAAATATATATATATATATATATATGTATATATATATAAAATGTATATATAATATATATATATATATATATATATATATATTTTTATATATATATATATATTTATATATAAAAATTTTATATATATTATATATAATATATATTTTATATATAATATATATATATATTATTGTAACCACGAACGATTGGTATTTAATCAATAACAACACTGCGACTAGACGGGGGATCGAACCTGTGTTATTTAACCCGCCTCATGGCGAGCGAAAATTCACGACGCTCTAACCCACTGGACCTTCCAATCTTACAAAGATCACGCGCCCAGCAGAGCTAGGTGGTGTACCGTGATCCGAGGACATATGTCCTCATGGAAACCCTCTTCAATTTATTTTCACAAGTTACCAAAGGGAAAATCTAGTTTACACAAAAGTGTAAATGTTCTTTAAAGAAAATAAAATAAACTGCACACCTTTAGTCATACATAACTACTAGCACTGTCTTAACCAGTCCATTATCTTTGACAAATAGAGAACACCAGAATGGGTCTAGGTGGTCAGTCCCTCAGACTAGGTTTGAGGGACTGATCACCTCCTGCCAGGACTGACGGACTGATCACTTCAAAACTGCTCTAAAGATCACAAGGCAGATGATAAATACTCCTTAACAAAAAGCAATGTCAAGTTCATTAGAGAATATCACCTGAAACTTTTTGCAATAGAAAGAATGTTTCAAATAAATTACCCAGTTCTTCGTGATCGTGAAAACTCAAATTTCCGGTGCACGATTAATGTTTAAAACGTAGGCAAACCCTTCACAAAACTTTAAACATCACATCTCTGAATACATAGGAAAGTCTCTGCGTACTTGCTTCCTCTCCCCTATCTAAGTCCTCCGTGTAATCAGAGATCCTTGACAATTAACCAATCGACCTCTTTTGAGAACTTCACAGTTCTGGCCTCAAAACTTTAGTGCCATTAGTATTTCAAAATTCTTAGACTTTAGCAAGAATACAGCCAGAGTTGAACGACTCAGTTACATCCACAGTGGTTGGCTAATTAACCGGATTTGAAGATTACAGACACACGAGGGTCATTGAGGCTTCATGTGACCTTCTCATCCCCAATCAAGAATACTTTAATGACAAATGTCGGTCTAATGGGAATAAGCTGTTAGTATATATATATATACATATATTATATATATATATATTATTATATTATATATATATATATATATATATATATATATATTTATAAATATTATATATATATATGTATGTATATATATATATATGTATATATATATATATATATATATATTATATATATATATAAAAATATATATATATATATATTATATATATATATATATATATATATTTTATATTATAATATATATAATATATATATATGTATATATATATGTATATATACATATATATATATATAATAAAATATATATATATAAATATTTATATATATAATATTAAAATATATATATAATATATATATATAGTATATATATATATATATTGTATGTATGCAATAAGATCACAGTAAACAGTTTATTTCAAAAATGCAAAACAACCACTCTGAAAGAATAGAGAAATTCCAAGCGCTTTCGTGACTACTCACATTATCAAGGAACTATGAAAGTGAAGCATCCAAGGAAGCTATATAAGGGGGGGCGCCAGCACCTCACTATCAGATCCCACAACGGTGCTGGCCGACCCCTTATTATAGCTTCCTAGGATGCTTCACTTTCATAGTTCCTTGATAATGTGAGTAGTCACGAAAGCGCTTGGAATTTCTCTATTCTTTCAGAGTGGTTGTTTTGCATATGTATGTATATATATTAGTATATATATATATATATATATATATATATATATATATATATATATATTATATATATATATATATATATATATATATATATATATTTATTTATATATATATATATATATATATATATATATATATATATATTATATATATATATATATATATATATATATAATATTATATATATACATATATATATATATATATATATATATATATATATATATATGTACTGTTTGTCTCAGTACATATACATCATGAGAGAGATACTTTTAGTGCACATACATCAAGAGAGATATTCTCATCGGAACATACAGGTGTTCGCACACTAATTCTAACTCTAAAGTTTATATATTTTTGCTCACGTTCAAAAGCAATGATTGTATTTAAATCAAATTACTTGTAATACTGATAAAATTACTTCTAGTAACACCGAGTAAATTTATTGTAACACTGGCTAAATCCCTTCTTGTAACACTAAAAAAATCCCTTCTTGAACACTGGTTAAAACCCTTCTTGTAACACTGCAAAAATCCCTTCTTGTAACACTGGTTAAATCCCTTCTTGTAACACTGATTAAATCCCTTCTTGTAACACTGGTTAAATTATTTCTTGTAACACTGGTTAAATCCCTTCTTTAACACTGGTTAAATCCATTCCTGTAACACTGGAAAAATCCCTTCTTGTAGGACTGGTTAAATCCCTTCTTGTAACACTGGTTAAATCCCTTCTTGTAACACTGGTTAAATCTCTTCTTGTAACACTGGAAAAGTCCCTTCTTGTAACACTGATTAAATCCCTTCTTGTAACACTGGTTAAATTCCTTCTTGTAACACTGGTTAAATCCCTTCTTGTAACACTGGTTAAATCTCTTCTTGTAATACTGGTTAAATCCCTTCTTTTAACACTGGTTAAATCCCGTCTTGTAACACTGGTTAAATTCCTTCTTGTAACACTGGTTAATCCCTTCTTAGTAACATTGGTTAAATTCTTCTGTAACACGGTTAAATCCCTTTTTGTAACAATGGTTAAATCCCTTCTTGTAACACTGGTTAAATCCCTTCTTGTAACATTGGTTAAATTCCTTCTTGTAACACTGGTTAAATCCCATCTTGTAACACTGATTAAATCCCTTCTTGTAACACTGGTTAAATCTCTTCTTGTAATACTGGTTAAATCCCTTCTTGTAACACTGGTTAAATTCCTTCTTGTAACACTGGTTAAATCCCTTCTTGTAACACTGGTTAAATCTCTTCTTGTAATACTGGTTAAATCCCTTCTTGTAACACTGGTTTAAATTCCTTCTTGTAACACTGGTTAAATCCCTTCTTGTAACACTGGTTAAATTCCTTCTTGTAACACTTGTTAAATCCCTTCTTGTAACACTGGTTAAATCCCATCTTGTAACACTGGTTAAATCCCTTCTTGTAACATTGGTTAAATTCCTTCTTGTAACACTGGTTAAATCCCTTTTTGTAACAATGGTTAAATCCCATCTTGTAACACTGATTAAATCCCTTCTTGTAACACTGGTTAAATCTCTTCTTGTAATACTGGTTAAATCCCTTCTTGTAACACTGGTTAAATTCCTTCTTGTAACACTGGTTAAATCCCTTCTTGTAACACTGGTTAAATCTCTTCTTGTAATACTGGTTAAATCCCTTCTTGTAACACTGGTTAAATTCCTTCTTGTAACACTGGTTAAATCCCTTCTTGTAACACTGGTTAAATCCCATCTTGTAACACTGGTTAAATCCCTTCTTGTAACACTGGTTAAATCTCTTCTTGTAATACTGGTTAAATCCCTTCTTGTAACACTGGTTAAATTCCTTCTTGTAACACTGGTTAAATCCCTTCTTGTAACACTGGTTAAATTCCTTCTTGTAACACTGGTTAAATCCCTTCTTGTAACACTGGTTAAATCTCTTCTTGTAACACTGGTTAAATCTCTTCTTGTAATACTGGTTAAATCTCGTCTTGTAACACTGGTTAAATCCCTTCTTGTAACACTGGTTAAATCTCTTCTTGTAATACTGGTTAAATCCCTTCTTGTAACACTGGTTAAATTCCTTCTTGTAACACTGGTTAAATCCCTTCATGTAACACTGGTTAAATTCCTTCTTGTAACACTGGTTAAATCCCATCTTGTAACACTGGTTAAATCCCGTCTTGTAACACTGGTTAAATTACTTTGGTATATTATTTGGTTGGATTTATATTATTTATAATGTAATAATTCACTCTGCACTGTCTAGGGAAATTTTTTTGAAACTCGGGAATATTATTGCTGAAATTAAATTCGATTATCTACTTAATAATTGAATTATTAGAATAATCTGAGTGCGACAAGCAGTCAGCCAGGCAGGAAATCAGTTACACACAGGCAGACAGGTAAGTAGACAGAGTGTTTGTGACAGTCCTAGGACCATATATATGTGGTTTACCTCCAGGGTTCACGGACCACGTATGTGGTTTACCTCCAGGGTCCACGGACCACGTATGTGGATTAGCTCCAGGGTCCACAGACCACGTATGTGGTTTACCTCCAGGGTCCACGGACCACGTATGTATATTAACTCCAGGGTCCACGGACCACGTATGTGGATTAACTCCAGGGTCCAAGGACCACGTATGTGGATTAACTCCAGGATCCACGGACCACGTATGTAAATTAACTCCAGGGTCCAAGGACCACGTATGTGGATTAACTCCAGGATCCACGGGCCACGTATGTGAATTAACTCCAGGGTCCACGGACCACGTATGTGGATTAACTCCAGGATCCACGGACCACGTATGTGGATTAACTCCAGGATCCACGGACCACGTATGTAGATTAACTCCAGGGTCCACGGACCACGTATGTGGATTAACTCCAGAGTTCACGGACCACAGATATGGTTTACCTCCAGGTCCACGGACCAGATATATGGTTCTCCTCCAGATACAAGACTGGTACCCACAATTCT